TCTTCATGCTTTATTTATCGTTGACTATCTCAAGAACTTCATCATATTTGTACGCAACATGACTACATGGGGGTTGAAAAAGATGCTCAACAACAACCAGGATCATAAAACACAGGCAAGAAATACAGTTGCTACTTTATATGGATTTGAAACGCACAGCCAAACTATACAATATTGTCCTCTCTCCTTCCTAAGCGAAAACTCAAGCCCTTTCAAAGTTTGGAGGTTGCAAGTTTTACCAGATCCTTCCTGAGTATCTTACCTGATGGATTCTTGGGGATGGAAGCTACAAATGCTACTCGCCGGATTCGTTTGTATGGAGCAACCTGAATGCAGATTAACATGCTAAGTTTAGCAGGACTGACAGTCTAGCAAGCCATCACAGCTGAAATGGAGTTTAAATGTCAAAACAAGTCAGTGGCAAGACCTCTTTTTTGTTATCATTTCTTAAATTTACCTGTTTAGCAATGTAGTCCATGACCGCAGTGTCTGACAAATTGTTTCCTGTTTTTCGTACCACATATGCCATGGGATATTGCCCAACTTCTTTATCTGGAAATCTGAAACACAACATAACAAACTAAGTCTCTTCTAATTTAAAGGACCGATCATATAAGATTGATTGCTTTCTTTTGCTAGAAGAAGAAAAAAAAAGTAAAGGATTCTAGAAATAAGCATAATCCTTTATTAGAAATAAATTCACAAATTTTTTTTCACAAAGATGGAGTAAAGCTCACGGTATAACAGCAGCATCAGCAATTTCTGGGTGAGTGAGTAACAAAGCCTCTAGCTCTGCCGGAGGAACCTATCCAATCAAGTGAATGATTCATGTGAGCAAAATCTCAAAGAACATTGATAGATGCAGCAGTGGTCAACATGTGCGATTGACGACTAATGAGTAATCGGCTGAGATGAAATGCAATATTTTGTATTGCGGAAAATGGACCAACCATGCAAGTAAGAATGACAAATCGGCTTAGGTTGCAGGAGTTTCATGAAGAAGCCAAATTGTAAGAAATGATTAACCTGGTAGCCCTTGTATTTGATTAGCTCCTTCAACCTATCAACCACAAAGATGAATCCATCGTCATCAATATAGCAGAGATCTCCAGTTCTTAACCATCCATCTGAATCCAAAGTTGATGCAGTTGCTTCTTCATTGCTAAAATAACCTATGAGGAAAAAACATTGCAGAACAGATTAACATAAATGTGCCGGCAAATGAAAACAGAGCCAAACACTGTAGAAATTCATAGGGATCTTGCTTCACAGGTAACATAGATACCATATCTAAAAACTTGAAAATTGTAAACTGTCCTTGACAGACCCTGTAAGAGGGAATTAATTGAGATCATTAAGGAGAAAAATGGCGATAAATAAACCAATATTGATGTCATATCTCTCACTTCTTCAATCACATTTGCTTAAAATGAGCTAATATAAGTATCCGGCTAGTTTTTAGATAAACTTAGTCCACTAATGTTTCCCTTCAAGTGATGGATCAGATCCTATTCTCCAGCACCAGCAATGTATAGAACGAAACAACAACTACAATAGGGACCGTCAATCTTACATATTGTCATCTTTTTGTGTCATTTGATTCATTAACAATCATTTCACTAACGAAAAAAAAAAAAAGGAAACTGGAAGAATATTGCAATAGTTTGATCGGTTGTAGGCACACTATGGCATATTAAAAAATAAATAAAAAATCTCATGTGAAAGTATATAATTAAAAGACTATGATTCTTTTTTTCACAACTTAATTGGCCAGAACAGTGATCTCAAGCAAGACTCAATCAATTAATACGCTTTATTTGTCATCTCTCTATGAAGCATAGATATTTTGCTTGGGACAACGTATCCATATCCGATATGTATCAGACACTGATATTCATATACTTACAAATATATATCAGATACTTTTTGCACGTATTAGATAATTAATAGAGTATTTATCATATTTGGATACACGTACATATCTCCATGGTGAATACATTCGCCATATACTTAGTAAAGTGGGTTATTGAAAAAACTATGAATCATACAAATGAAAAGTCATCATTGAAGATATTCAGATCGATCACATATATCATAAGATTTGTCAATTATTTATAATTTATTTGGCTTGAGTAATGAGTTTTTATGACTTATATTAAAGCTAATGAAATGTATCAAAATAAAATGGTAACTAAAAAATGAGAGATCTCGAAAGGAGACACGCCTTCATCTTTAGAATTACATAAAATCTTGAATATATTTAAAACTCCATTAAATATTCTTATGTTAGTAACATAAATTATTTTAATTTAGATATATTTTATTTCTTAATTTATCATATTTCTAGTGTTGTAATAACATTCTAATACATATGTTTATGGAAATAGAAACAACTAAATAACTTTTGAAACACTTCCTAAGCAACTGGGCTTATCAAACCCGCCCGTCAATGGCAATGTATCGATCAAAATGGCTTTTGGAGACGGATGTAACTGATTTCTCTTCAAGATAATGGTGGGACAAGCATAGTGGACACATGTCATTATTCCACGGTGTCCTCAAAGAAGAAAGTAACAGGTCCACCAAGAACGTGGCAAACGTGTGGAAAAAAATACTATACTTTTACCTTTCATAATTGTGGGACCTCTCAGCCAAAGCTCACCCGTCCGATTAACCGGCAACACCTCTCCGCTCTCCGGATCAACAATCCTAGCCTCCATGCTCGGCGACAACAGTCCCGCTGTTCCATACCGTCGACTCTCCTCCATTGAGTCCGTCGAAGCCCCGATGCCCGTGGATTCAGTCAACCCATACCCCTGCAAAATCGTCACCGTCGAATACTTCTCCACAAACCCCTCAATCAGATCTTTCCCCAACGGCGCACCACCAGACAAAACAGAGTGAAGTGTTCTCAAATTGTACTTTTTCTTTATATGATCGGCGTTATTTACTAATGCCACCAGTATTGGTGGCACGAGAGGTAGGTAGGTTGCAGAATATTTGCCAATTGCCAAAAGCATTTCGTCAATCTCAAATTTGGAAAGAACCACCACCGTGGATCCTGATGCAAGCAATCCCGTCGCAAAAGCTGCTAATCCGTAGATGTGAAACATCGGGACGGTGCATATAAAAGTTTGCTCTCCTTCCTCCAATCGAAACCGGCTTACAACAGTTTGAACCATGGCTATGAGGTTTTTATGAGACGATACTACTCCTTTACTCGCCCCGGTAGTACCAGAAGAGTAAAGTAGCGTTGCCGTGTCATCCTGAGTCACCCGCTCCTTGATTCGGCTGCTCTTACTCGGTTCCTTTTTCATCATGGATTCTAATGTTGTCACGATTCTGGAATTGGAAGTGGAATCGGGAGGAATTGAATGAAGATCCTCGCCGATGAGTACGATGGGGAGGTTTGAGTGGCCGATTTTGGGGATAAGTTGGGGAATAGTGAAAGCGAGAACAGGTTTTGAATCAGCGATTTGTTTGGAGATTTCCCGAGTAGTATTGAGAGGGTTAGTAGTGGTGATGATGGCGCCGAGGGACATGACGGAGAGGCAAACGATGGGGAAGAAAATGGAGTTAGGAGAGAGGAGGAGGACAACATGACCTTTGCGAATCCCGATGTCGGAGAGGCAAGAAGCGACCGAATCGACAGCTCTCCATACCTCCGTGAAGCTGAGGCGGCGACCGGTGGTTGCATCGATGAAGGCCGTCTTGCCATGGTGGGCACGAGACGAGATGAAAGTGGTGACGTCGAGAGATTCATTGGATGGTAAAGGAATTGAATTGCGTTTGCTGTAGAATGTAGAGTTGGATCTGCAAAAGCCACTTCTTGGGTCGATCATGAGGCCGCTATAATTCTTCTGTGCCATGGGAGAATTAGAAGAGTTATTCACTTTGATCTCTCTCTTCTCTCGGGTTGGTTGGCTTCTCCGCTGTAGTGTATATTACAGTGCTTGTGCATGTGTCCGACGACATTTATTCGTTGGAACTGGAATGGAGTTCGCCATGTTTGACTATACTGTATAGGAATGGAGAACATATTCGGTGTAGCCGTGCCGTGTAACCGTCAAATACTAAAATAAATAAGGTAAATTATACCAATAGTCCCTAAGATATATGGTTAGTTGTATTTTGGTCCTCAAAATTTTATTTTTATCAATTTAATCCTCAAAATTTATACATTCGACTAATATGGTCCTTGACACTAATTGCTATCTAAAAAAGAGACGAAAATTATCATGTGCCTGACACATGACAATTTTGACAAGTATTTTTGGTATTTCATGTCAATACCTATTTTCAAACAACCTTATCCCTTATTTGACTAACATTAAACATGATACCAATCACACATTTTCATCTTTCTTTTCTCTTTTCTCAAATAGTATCCTCACAAAAAAAAACATACACCATCTCTCTGTTTCTCTTTTAAGTTTTGAGCACTTGCACACATAAACACAACACGCCCACAAAAAAAGCACGCACACCGACACTTCTCAACAAATACACAATGTTTATCTCTCTTCTCTCTCACACATAATATTTCTCTCTCTCAATCAAACACACAAATACACAAACAACAACAACGTAATCACACCAATACCTATTTTGCTACAGCTCCCATGGACAATGAAGCTCTATTTCATGGCACCAATCGGAATTGCTTGCTCAGATTCGGTATTGCGATTCCAAATTTGAATTGATGAAGAATTAGTTTAGGATTTTGATTCCATAGTTGACAAAATTCTTTGTAGATCTCTGTTTGTCTCCTTCCTAATTCCCTGAAATATGCTTGAGCACATGAAAATTGATGGTTTTGGGTTTCACGGGTCGCAGTGGAAAAGGAAAGAGGTGGTGTGTTACGATCCGTGGAGTACTTGATGAAGTGGTGGCAACCGTATGGAGAATTGTAAGGGCAGTGGAGGTTAGGTTTTTGTGTGAGGCGTTGAGAGAGAGAGAGAGGACAGCGACGGTAGTGGTGGTGGTATCAGTGGTGGCAGATGGGTAGAGATGGGGGTGGTCGCCGATTATTAGGGATAATCGCCACCATGCCGCCTCCACCTTCTAACAGTAGGGTATTACTTAGTTTAAAGAGAAAGAGAAAGAGGAGTATGGGTATTGTGTATTGTGAGAGAGCAAAGCAGCAGCGAGAATTGATGAGGAAGAAAAAATGTGTTTGGTACATGGTTAATATTTTTTAAACTTAGAATACAGATGTTTGTATACGGGGGTGTATTGAATAATGACATAATTACTCTTAATAGTCATCATGTGCCTAATGTGTGCTGGTTTTTTGTTACTTTTTTGGACGACAGTTAAGGGTAAGGACCAAAGTGAGTTAATGTGTTAACATGAAGGATGAAATTGACGAAATTAAAACTTTAAATATAAAAGTGCAACAAGTGGCAAATATCATGGACTAACGGTACAATTTACCCAAATAAATATGAGGAATGTTATTGGACTTCATTTAATAGCTTAATTTCCTTACCTAATTTGCTATGGAACTCAAAAAATAAAAATAAAAATACATATTATCATTTAAATGAGTGTATCTTATTAACTTTTCTTAAGTGACATTTATTTATTTGACATTTATTTAAGAGATGATATGCATTTGAGTTGTAATTTTTTAGTTTCATTTGAGACGTATAACATTTTTCATTTATTATAGTCATTGAAAATATTAAAACTTAAAGTTGATCTAACTGTTATAATAAAGTCTCAATAGTATTACTCAATAAATAATTGGACAAGGTGATTCCATTTTTTTTTTCCTGGAATTGTGGTTAATTATTTGAATAAATGAGATTCACTTTTATATTTAGTGTAACTGTTATATTCAATATTTATTCATATGAATGAGTGTGGCTGAAAAATGATAAGATATATTTTATAATATTTTAAGTGTCAATTAAGAATTTGAATATATTTTGGGGTGGAAAGTGGTTTTTTTTTTTTTTTAAACAATAAAGAGTGTTTGAGCCCATTAATGTATAACTCGACTAATTTCATTGCTATTACGATTAAATATCGACTATTCATGCCAGAATTATAGTATTTATGAGTGATAAATCTCTCCGATCAATGGACGGTGATCTACATTGAAATTAAGTTATTCATGAAAGATAAATCTCTTATATCCTGGCCTGAAAGATTGTCAAAGGTTAAAAAATTGTTAAAGGTTGAATTCAAGACGTCTAAATTTACAGCTCGCCCTATTATTATTTAAATTTATAATTTACACACAACTTGACTAGTCTTTATTTTGGTTCGAGCACTCTTACCGATAAAAGAAAAAATATAGCAGAAAATTGTTATTATGCTTTTTTGCGCACATGGGAAATCTTTAAAACATGACATACGACTGTTACTCTAAACCCACCGGCCACAGATTCCACGAAACCCCGCCACGAACATACCAACTAACAAATCAACGTAAAGTATACCGTGAGATGTTATATTTACCCTTAAAACTTACAATGGTGTCGAGAGATCAAAGGTCTGATCATTGATGGATTTTGGTTTAATCTCACTGGCATTGAAAACCCTATTTCTTTAGGTTCACATCACATTTGCATCTAATTTTTTTTTTTCTAGTTTTAACAAATTAATTTGATGGAAAATTTTAGTTTATATGATCTTAAAGTATGATAAGTTAACGTTGAGGAAAAAAAATTCAAAATAAACTAATAAATCTATATCTATATAATAAAATATAATACAATTCAAATGTTAAAAGATAAACGAAATAACTTTTGTTTTTCGCGGTTTAGTTAACTTTAAATTTTGTTTTATAGTTAATTTGACGACTAATAATAACACACCAAATTTAATAGGAAAAATAGATCTCTAAGGGTGTGTTTGAAATAACTTTTTAAAAATTCTTCTACGATTTATTACTTCTCATCAATACTTTAAAAAACATAGGATTTGAAATTGCTCTACCACCACCCCACCACCACCACCATCACTATTACAGTTGCCACCACCACACCAACACCTTTGCCACAACAACTATCACCACTACCAAATTCATCGCCCCATCATTATCATCACCACCGCTATCGTCACCCCCACTATCAACTCGTCCACAACAATCACTTTTAAAAATAGTTAGTAATGTAAGAAAGTTAGTAATGTAAGGTATCCCACATTGAAAAAGTTGAAAGGGAGTGTAAGAGTTTAAAAAGATAAATACATCAAATTTTTTAAATTTGGCTGGTGGGAAGATTTGAAGGAAAACTCTAAATATTTCAAATCAAAGGATCATGATTAAGCTTTAAATAAAATAATATTTAAAGTCAAAAGATGGGCACTCTATAAAATAATTAATTATTTTTGTATTAATTAATATCTCTTGGCCCAAGAATTGTGTCTCCTCTTTACATCTCTTTGGCTCAAGAGTTGTGTCTCATTTTTACATCTCTAAAGTATTATAAATACCTGTACGGATGCGTCAATACTGATATATACAAAAAACATTTCTCTATTATGTTATTAGGAGAATTTTAGAGTCTACTATCTAAATTCTGTTTTGCCTTTGTTAATCCTAGAAGAATTTGTCATAAACCTAGCAGCAATATAGTGGGAGTATAATTTTCTTAAGGAGAGTCAATAATCGATCAAAATCTTCTAATCTGTTGAAGTTATTTTGCTAACAATCACTACCGCTGCCACCGCCACCCTATCACCACTACCCTACCACTACCATCCCCACTACCACTATCCCCATCATTGCCACTGCTGCGACCACCTTACCATCACCACTACCACTGTCCCATCATCACCCCTACCCCTACCACCGTTCCACCACTACTATAACCATTGACACCCACACTTGCCAGCATCATAACTGATCGTCGTCACCTATCACAATCATCATCGTCTCTGACTATTACCACTATCGCCCACCATCACTACCATCGCTCGTCCCTATTACAATCGATATTTAAATTCATTTATTTTTGCTCTATTTTTGTAATTTAATTTTAGCAGTGAATACAAATATGTTTATTATTAACTATTTTTTTATTACTCTATACCTTCAGGTATGAGAAATAACTAGTTTATAGAATAAAATACAATATAATCCAAATTTTAAAATATAAATAAAATAATTTTACTTTTCACGGTTGAGATCTCTTTAAATTTTATTTTAAAGTTAATCTGACAACTAATATTAACACTCCAAATTTAATAGAGAAAATAGGTTCCTAAAAGTGTGTTTAGGGAGAATTTTTATAAGTGTTTTTAGAACATAAGTACTTTAGAACAAAAAATTAGTGTTTTGAAACAGCTCCATCATCACTAATCCCATTGCGCCACCACCATAACCACCATCGCCACCCCCACACCACCCTCCACCACCGCCACTACACCCACCGCATCACCACCACCACCACCATCACCCTTACCATTGCTGCTGTCACCTTACCACCACCACCACCACCACCACCACTATTACAACCATTATCGCCATCCCACCACCACCATCATCACTGCCCCGCCACCATCATTATCGTCACCCCACCACCATCATCCTTATTATCACCACCCCCATCGTCGCCACTGCACCACCACTATCACCATTGCGACCTCACCATCATTGTTGCCCACCACCACCCTATCATTGCCTACCATTGCTGCAAACCACTGTCACCCACTCCGATCACATCTATCACCACCATCCGTCATCAGTCACCATTATCAGTATCCACTGTCATCCATCTCCACCACTCTTACCACCACCATCATTCGTCACTACTCATCACACTATTGCCCAGAAGTACTTGTCGTCGCCCACCACCATTACTGCTATCGCCCCACCACCACCACTGCTAACCACCATTATCGTCGCCCACATCACAACTACCATCAGTCACAAGTACTACTATCACTATTGTCACCCAAAACCTACCACCACCATCATCATTGCGACCCATGGTTGCCACCACCACCACGATCGTCGTCACCCACTACAATCATCACCGTTTTTTCACCATCACCACTACCACCGTTCACTTCCATTATAATCGGTGCTTAACTAGTATTCAATATTGGGTAAAATATAATAACAATCCCTAAAGTATGTATTTTGTTTTAATTTAGCCCTCATTTTTTCAATTTTAATTTGTGTTACTTTGATTCAATTAAAAACGAGGTTTAAGTTGACTACTAAAGGTTATCATATGTATCTCACGTAGGAGTGTCAATCGTGTCGGGTTAAACGGGTGACAGGTAAAAAACGTATAAACTCATACACGACACGTTTAATAAACGGATAAAAAATCTCAACACGAACACAACCCGTTTAATAAACGGGTAACACGAAACGACTCGTTTAATTTTAAAAAAATTATATCAACAAATTGTAATACTTCATTTTTTTTACTACTAATTGCACTTACCTCAAAAAAGAGAAATTTTAAATCAAATCTCATAAAAATAAGATTTGAAGGCTTTAAAAAAAAAACAAGAGATTATTATCTTTCATAGACAACTCACCCTCCCCATCTCCCCTCATTTTTTAACGTGGGACAAAAATAAAAGACATTGGTTTGCCTTTGTCTTTCAAGTGTTCTATAACTCCTCTCCTTTGTCTTTGAAAAATAAGACTTGAAAGCTTTAAAAATAAAAGCAAGAAGTCATTGTCTTTTATAGGCAACTCAACCCTCCCCATCTCCCCTTATTTTTCAATGTGGGACAAAAATAAAAAACATTTGTTTGCCTTTGCCTTTACCTTTAAAGTGCTCTCTAACTCTTCTCCTTTGTCTTTAAACTACTATTTTATTTTTTTTTTATTGATTTTTTTACTTCTTTTTTTTTTGCTAATTTTTTTAAATAATTATTAATTTATTATTATATTAATTTTATTTAAACGGGTAAATGTGTGATAAACGGTTTGACAGGTCTCACTCGAACACGACCCGTTTATTAAACGTGTTTGACGTGTCAACCCGTTTATCACCCAAACCCGTTTAATTCGTGTCGATTCGTGTTGGTTAATCATGTCATGTCGAATTTTGACAGCCTTAATCTCAGGTGATTTTATTTTATGTCATTTTGGTCCCTCAAGTTTGCAAGATATCATTTTAAGGAAAAAAAAAAAAGTTCTCAACTGTGATTACGTGAGATGCACGTGATCATCTCCATTAGTTAATTTAAACTATCATTTTC